CCTGGCACCAGGGTATTGCCCATAACCTTCCGCAAGACCCAATCACCCACTTTGAACGGTCTGGGGTGCACGATTTTGTTGTATTTTCTTGAAAGCTCTTGTTGGTAGAAGAGATGGCAAAATGAAGCCGCATCAAGAACCTCCTCACAGTTACCTCAGCTGAGATACCGAGCATCATTACCCACCCACCAGCTGCCGGTCAATCCAGCGGCCCCGTGGTTGCCTTGGCATCTCCAGCCGCTGGGTAGGTCAGACAAGAGACTTGCCGGGCTGGCAAAAGACCTCGCGCAGACCCATCTACCGAGCTGGTTACCGAGCTAACCACCGAGCAACCCGCCGTCACCGCCGACCACACACTATCATGGCGACCGCAGTTAAAGCACCAGGGTAAAGACATCCCGGCTAACGCTTCCGTCAAGGGTGATAAGGAGCACTTGCTCGCCTTCGACTTTTCAAAAGCCTTTCTGCTGCCGAGCGACGTGGTTGGCAGCGACCACATCCCTGACACTCGGTTGGTGAATTCCACCGTGAAGTCCATGACCAGGGTAAGAATCTCAATCTTCTACCTTTTTGATTCATTCTCACTGACATTCCTTCGTTTCAAGCGTCTCTGAGCTCTTGCCCTTTCTCTCTCGCCATCCCTGAACTCGCGTTCGAAGAAGAAGCCTCTGCCTTTCATTGGTAAGTCCCTCAACCCTTGTTATTACTGTTTTCATTCCATATTTTTTTCTTTATAGCACCAAATCCGTAGGTTTTAGGGCCTCCCCCACCCAAAACCTTCAATGCCCCTTAGTTTCTTCGCTGTTCTTCAATTTCCCTGATAAACAATGAAGATCTGGGGCGGACAAGGCTCCAGATCTTCATCCGATCCAAAAAATCACTCAGACCGAGCAAATCTTTAGTTTGTCCCAACCTTAGGAGAAACCGGGGTAGCAAAAAGGACTTGGCCGCTCGACCGGGCTAATCTCTGGTTCGCTTGGGCGACCGAGCTCCTTGGCTAACCTTAACGATCGAGGTGGTTTGGCACAATCCATGACCGAGCTCAAGTCTAGCTCGTTTTGCGCGATCGCGCTCCCACTTACGATTACCCCCCGTTTTCCTGCAAAGTCCAAGGGGACCAAAGACCAATTCTGAGGCTCTCAAGGATCGAGCAGCCATTAATTCCCAGCCTGTGCCAAACCACCTCAGCCGAGCTAAATTAGTCGGTCACACATGGGGAAATTCTGCTTCCTTGTGGACATACCTGCTGCCTTGGCCGCCTTCAGGGAAGAATACGGTATCCCGGCAGATGTCCATTTGGAGCTCGCCGAGATGGAAACAACCGAACACTAGAACAGCCAAGAATCGTACATTATTGTTAGGGGAAAAAAAAAATTTCCTTATTTATCATAAACTTTATGTAAAATAAATATACCTCAAAGGGTTGATTGAACATTAAAAATTTGAGGATAAAATCTAAAATTTTGTCAGTTAACTTCAGCCCTGTGATTAGTCGAGGGCGGACAAACTCACCGAGACACTCTATTATTAAAATATAAAAATTTTTTAGGCACAAAATAATATACCTCATTGCCAAATCCAACTCCAATGCCAAAAAGAATCCTGCCAAGAATGAGCATCCATTTGTGCTCAGCAAGAGCACTGAACCCAGCTCCTCCAATGAAAAATAGGGATGCTACTAGAATTGTGGGCTTGCGACCAAATATACGACATGCCTTTGATGCACCAAAGCTTGCAACCAAAGCAGCAAGGTACAGTGATGATGTGAATAGCTGAAGCAACTGATCATCATATTTGCAGTAATTGTCTTCCTTTGCATGAAGTTTCCTCTCGTGAACTTTTGGAAAGAATTTTATTAAGAAATCATCCATCGCAGTCACACCACCTATAAAGTCAAAGTCAAAATAATAAGATTCGATTGTTTACTCGAATGAATTAGAAACCAAACACATAAACGAAAAATGATCATTGACACTCACATATAAATAATAATTTTGCAACAAACATCAATAAACCTTTATGAATCATTACTTAATAATAATTGTTTCAATTATTTAGTGTATAACTTTTAGACTTACTTTTTTAAAGCATATAATAAAATAAAAATATATATCTCTATGATTTTCTAATCAAAGAATTACATCAATATAGTTGAGGGCATTACCTGAAATTCCAATATCATAACCAAACATTAGGCCTCCAAAAGCTGCGACAATCCAACAAGCAACCACATATACAGTGATTTTCGATTTGAATACTTCTGCATTAGCCATCTTTGCTTCTCCAAATTGAAAAACACACACTCAAAATTATTAATCTTCTTCAAACAAGAAATCTCACGGGAGAGAGAAGACAGAATGAAAAAAACCTCACAGAAGAGAGAAGATAGAATGAGATAAAGAAGGGTAATTGGATGCTTTTATAACAATGAATTCCCATTAATTTTGGGATTTTGAGATGGATAGGATTTGGGAAATCTTAGTAGCTTATTTTTGCTGGAAAATAGTTCTAATGGTCAAATCTCTTATCCTTTCTGACAAGGAATGTAATTGTTTTTGACGTGATCCATTGTGTGAGATATTTAGTAAGATTCTTAATAGGTCCTATTTTTGGGATTTATACCCATTAAGTATCAGTCTCTTTTATTAATAGTACTTAATGGATAATAAATCTTAAAAATAAAACATCTAAAATTTTGATACATCTTTTGGAATCTCTACCATTTTTCATTCTTTTTGAGTAATGCTAAAGATCCCAAAAAAATTATTAAATTTTTTATCAAATGTCTCAAATGGGTGTGGGACTCACATGTTGAGATTTCAAAAACTGTATTAAAATTTTTAACAAATGTGTCACATGGATGTGAGACACCGAAAAGGTGTACCAGAATTTCTACCAAATTTGCCCATGACAGATTTGGTTGAAATTTTAGTACATCTTTTGAGGTCTCTAAGATTTTCTTTCTCTTTTGATGTGGGTCCCACACTGATGTCACATATTTGGTAAAAATTTTAGTGCATCTTTTGAAATCTTTTGTATTTTTTATTTTTTATTTTAGAAACCGTTTTTTCATTTAATAAGGTCAAACATGTTTGAATGCAGAAGTAAAGTGGATTTATTAAAAACAGTTATAATAATTATTATTTGCTTTTATATATTTTTTAGTTTCCCTTCTGTTATTTTGGATAGTCATGACATGACTCATATTTGTAAAATCCGAGGAGGGAAGAAAACAAATCTTTCATGGTAAAAGATTCACTATATAAAGTATTTATTATTTTCACAAACAATTAAGAAATTTGATTTCCTCACTCGCATGAAATCTTACATTCGTATAAAAATATTAAGAGTAAATAATACCAGTAGTTCTTATACTATCATTTTAACTCCTATAATTTCAATTAGCTTATTTTTTAATTTAATTTATGATTTTGTCTCAATTTAATTCAATTGATTACAATTTCTAGTATTTTTCTTATGAACAATGTGCATATAAGCGACATTGGTCATGCTTTTATAGATAAAATTAAAAACTTGTGTAATTTAGTAAGTTACATCCATCCACTCAGTGATTTTTTTTTTCAAAAACCCTAATCAGCGTTATAATTATACCAAATTGATATAAAATCTAAAATTAAGAATCAAAATTAAACTAATTGAAATGAGAAATACTGAGATGACACAAGACAAAATGTAGACACTACCGAGAAAATTTGTCCAAATATTATCCATGAAATAATAAAAAATAGTTGAACCCCTAATATTTTAAAAAATAAATTACACCGACACCTATAGATTTTCCTTTGACACTTAAGAAATTACGCTACACCCTAAGATTTCAATTTCCATTACAATTTTTTCCCCTTCTGTCAATCCCCATTAGGAGACTTGGCAATTCTGGATAACATCAGAAATAAAAACTATCAAAATATCAATTATAAGCCTCAACCCAAATGATGAAGACTTTGGATGATTTGGTAATGTAATTAGTACCTTAAATTAAAGTTTGGGGACTTCTATTTAGGTCCTAATAGGTGAACTTATTGACCAATAGGTCCTGTGAGAATTCATGGCATTTTTTACCAAACACTATTAAAAAATATCACTAGTTTTTAATTTTTAGCGACAATTTAAAAATTGTTAAAAAAAATGTCACTAATTATAAGTTTTAGTGACAGTTTAAAAAAATAGTCACAAAAAAGTCACTAATTTTTAACTTTCAACGACAGTTTAACAAATTTGTCACAAAAAAAGTTACTAATTATAAGTTTTAGCGACAATTTATAAAAAACTGTGAGAAAAAGTCCCTGATTGTCAATTTTTAGTGACATATGCAAAAATTCGTCAAAAAAGATTACTTTGAGCAATGATTTTATTAGGACTTATTTTCAATTGGACTTGTGAATTAAGTCTAACTATTAGGACTTATTGATAATTTATCTTAAAGGGTTTCTGTAAATATTGTGTTTCAGGATGGGCCACAATGACACTGAAGAAAACAATTGCTGGTAGTTTTTTCTTAGATAATTGTGGGTAAGGGGTTTGATAATTTTTCTGCACGTATTGATAGGTAAAATTATATTGGTACCCATATCTACCCCACACACAAAATAAATAAATAAATAAATAAATAAAGTGCTCTGTTTTGGACTACTGCTACTTTTGTTGTTGCAGGAATTTTGACTATGTTCTAGTTACATATTTCATGTGCTGCTTGAAAGGAAGAATGGGAACTTGTATCAAAAGTATTTGGATTGATTATATTGATTGAATTGATCACAAATTGATGCATTAGAATGAGTCATTAAAAGGGTTTATACAAGAACACAATTCACAGAAATAAGAAATAAAAGTGGTCATGTATATAATTAATTACAGAATCATGTTTTGAAACTTTTATATAATTCAATACTTAAAAATGTATTGAAACAAGGGAAAAGAGAAATTCAAGGACAAATAATCTTTGGTTATCTTCAACCACTTTTGTCCAATGTATGCATTGACTAACATTATATTGCATGTGTCACTACAAGAATTCGCACTTTTGCCGACTGAAAATTTGGTTGGCAAAAGTCCATTTTTAGTCGGCAAAAGTTATCCGCGACTAATTTTTTTGGTCGCCACTTTGGTCGCCAATTGAGGGTCGTAGAAAGTAATTAGCGACTAAAAAATATTTTAGTCGCGAAAAAATTATATTTGCCAACTAAATTTTTAGTCGTGAAATATATAATTATTGCGACTAATCCATTTAGTAGCTAAAACACTTTAGTCGCGAAAAGTCATATTCTTCCGACCAAACATGTTAGTCGCCAATTCGCACATTCAACGACCAAATAGTTTGGTCGACAATTGTCGCCCATTTCTACGACCAACTAATTTGGTCACCAATTGTCACATTCCGCGACCAAAACAATTGGTGGGCAATACATTCCACGACCAAAAATATTGGTCGGCAATATTCACTACAATAAAATCGCATTTTTGGCAACTAAAAATTTGGTCGACAAAAGTCAATTTTTAGTCGGCAAAAGCTATTCGCGACCAATTGTTTTGGTCGCCACCTTGGTCGCCAATTGAGGGTCGGCAAAAGTAATTAGCGACTAAAACTTTTGTTAGTCGGGAAAAAGTTAAATTTGCCGACTAAATTTTTGATCGCTAAATATATCATTACTGCGACTAATCCATTTAGTCGCTAAAACACTTTAGTTGCGAAAAGTGACATATTCCCGACCAAACATGTTAGTCGCCAATTGACACATTCCACGACCAAAAAATTTGGTCGCCAATTATCACATTCCACGACTAAAAAGTTTAGTCGCCAATTGTGGCATTCCACGACCAAATATTTTGGTCGCCAATTGTGACATTCTAGGACCAAAAAGTTTTGGTCGCCAAAAGGAATGTTTGCGCCAACATGCAATAAAATAAACTTATAATTCATAATAATATATCCAATCTATTCAATACAATCTGTAATTTACAATAATCAATCAAACCAACAATTCACCTGAATCATAAACATTCAACAAACTATATAAATCATCAAACTCTAAACCTGTTTAATTAAAGTCAGCAACTATTATAAGTTTTCATCCACAAGTAATTCCAAACTACATATTCGTTCAATTAAAAATCCGCTTGTAATCTATATAATCATCCAATTCACATCCACTTAGCATTAAAATTTAAAACATATTCCTTAAGTGAAGAGTAGAACTCCCTTCACAGAGCATCAATAGCTTTCATTGATTGAGCAGAAAGAAATTCTTCCAATAGTATTCATATCCAGCTACGTCTCTTTCAACTTCTTTCCAGGCCTCATAAGCCCGGACAAGAGTAGAACTCCCTTCACAGAGCATCAATAGCTTTCATTGATTGAGCAGAAAGAAAATTCTTCCAATAGCATTCATATCCAGCTACGTCTCTTTCAACTTCTTTCCAGGCCTCAGAAGCCCGAACAAGAGTAGAACTCCCTTCACAGAGCATCAATAGCTTTCATTGATTGAGCAGAAAGAAAATTCTTCCAATAGTATTCATATCCAACTACGTCTCTTTCAACTTCTTTCCAGGCCTCATAAGCCCGAACAAGAGCAAGGTTATCACTGTAATCACGTGAAAATTGTGTTTTTGCTGCTTCTGCTAGCTGCAAAGAGAAAGACACACAAATCAATTAGTGAAACTGATAAGATAAGATACTCAATTTTCTAGCAAAAGCTATCTATTAGTGAAACCATATAGCGATCCTGAGTTTACCCTTGTTGTATAGTGATCCGGACATGTGTCCGTGGATGTTGGTAGTTGTTTATTGTCTTGTTTACATCCTTTCTTACTTTGTATTTGAGTTATAGGATGTGTTGAGCGGGTTTGTTGTGCTGAGTAGGGAAAAAAATTTACAATGATGATATGACATGATTATGGATGCATGATATATTTCTCAGTAATTAAATTTTTATAAGTATAATAACAAATCTCACTACATGTAAATGTGACAGGTACACATTATATCAAAATAGAGCATAAGCCAGAGCTAGCCACTGCAACCCCAGCTGCAGCAAGACCAGGCCAGGTCAACACAGCAAGGCTGCAGTACCAGCCGCAGCTAGAGCAGCTAAAGTCAGAACAGAAAGGCCTGTAGCTTCAGTCATGCTCACGTGTTATAAAGAGAACTAGCATAACTGTTTCAAGTAGTTAGACTGTTAGAATTAAACCATGGTTAGATTAGTTTGTTATGATTAGATTAAAAATAAAAGCACTGAATCTTTGTAATCAATTCATCAATCATGGTTTTTGCTGGGTTAAAGGAATTGAGCCTAACAAGTGTAAGGATAATATGGCTTTGAGTACAATAAGAAAGAAAGTTTTCATGTAAAAGAAAAACTCCGTAAAGATTGAAACCTCAAGAGATATCTCAATTTTGACACCTTCTTTGGCTCCTACAGCTTGATGAATCCCCTCAGACCATCTCCTTTTCTCTTCAACTCTCCCTGTCAACTACAGAAATGTCTTGTTGTGCTAATGTGAGTATTCTGCTCAACTCTCCCCTAAGACCGTTTATGTACTCGGTTCAACCATTTCATAATTGAAGTCCTTCAGAGTATCCAAACTACAGGTGCTAAGTGTCCTAATATAACACATCAAAACCTATTCAAACAATAAGTTCATAAAATTAACGAACAGTAGCAAACACCAATAGCCCAACAGTGTGATAGACAATGTAACTAATCAAAAAGTAAATGGCAGTACTACAAGAAATCAAATAGTAGCAAGTTCATCTAAATATTTCTTGTCTAGTAAATGGCAGTAATTAAAATTGAATATGCATTTCAAAAAGTTATTAAAGTTTAAGATACACTCGAAATATTCCAAGGGACAGTTCATCTAAATAGAATTACTTGTAGTACTGAAGGTAATCTACGTTTGAGCAGATGCTGAAGACGTTGTCAACCTAACTATTAGCAGTTATGAGGGAGAGTTACTTGGGGGACCTTAGCAAACATTAGCAGACATAGTCATGCTGAAGGTAATCTACCTTCAGTGATGAGGGAGAGTTAGGTTGTGGGGTGGCTGAGATAGATGGGGTTGCAAGGGAGCATGGGGAGAGAAAGAGAGTGAGAAGATGGAGTGTGATTCCTTTTAGAAAAATGTGATTCAATTAAGGAATACTGGTGCTTAGATATAAGTAATTATCTACGTTTAAGGGTATGATAGATATTTTAGTATAAACGTGATGGCCACTATTTTCCATCCATGAGATTAACAAACTGTACGTGTTAAAGTGTTAAATGAATTTAAATTTTCAGGTATGTACAGTGTAATCATGCCAAGACTATGAAGCTATCTATATTTCTAATTACTTGAGGGAGGTCTACATAATTTACCCTATTATTTATCTGTTATTAGTTAAGAAGTACGCACACGAATATGTGACACAACACAGACATATGGACACACAAATTTTTAAAAGATGCAGGGCACAACATGTTGGGGACATGTTCAAAACATATAATTTTATATATTTATTATATATCATATTTCTAAATATTTAATATTTATTTTATATCAAATATTTAATTTTATCAAATTTATTAAGTATGCTATTTTAATAAAATAAATTAAAATTTTAATTTTTTTTGAACTTTCCAAAATCTGATCACTATCAGAGAGAGGAGGAGCATGTATTATACATTTCAAAAGCAGACACAAAATAAACCATGAAATAATGTTTCACTGCTCAGTGAATAAGAAAGATAATCATTATTTATGTCCAAACCTAGTGATTTTGTGCTATTAAGGGAAAAAGAAGAAAAAATCAATCCTGTAGTTCCCCACCTTTCCCACTCCCTAAGTTTGTCGGTTATAATATTACTAACATGACAAAAGAACCCAATTACAAAATTTAGCCAACAAATGATGTTCCGTGTTACACTAAAATGTTCTTATCACATTAACAGATCCTCCTGCAGATGCAATATTTCCTTTCTCAGTCTAAAAACTAGCAAAATTTATGGGAAAACAATTATTTATTAGAAAAATGATTTGGACCCCCACGACCCCCATTGGCCTGAAATTGGCCAATTTTTTTTTCCCCTTCTCCAATCACCAACCCCCACGTGTGTGTGGGGGTGGTGGGGAGAGGGGGTATCAATCACTTCCATATTTAATACATAAATGTCCACTGTGTTTGAACGTTTCAGAAAAAAAAATCCAAAAAATCAAATCTGAAAATTTAATAACCAAATTTTGAACAGAAAATCAACTAGAAGCAGCTCGAGAGAGAATCCACACAACACTAATTACCTGTTTACCATCAGGGCTCCAGCTAATAGCGTAAATGCTGCCTTTATGACCATCCTCTAAGGACAGCTCTCCAATTTTCTCTCCAGTTTTCGCATCATATAGTATACCTTTCTTATCAGAGCTTACCGTAATGAACTTGCTACCATCTGTACAAAACTGTACACAACTGACAAAATTTGAATGATCCCTGCATATCAATAACATCACCTTTTTGTAAAGCATAAACTTTTGAAATGCATATTCAATTTTAATTATTGCCATTTACTAGACAAGAAATATATTATATGACGAAAAGGGAAACAACTAGAAGTTCATCTAAATATTTCAAGCAGAAATCTAAACAAGAAATATACTTATTTAAGATACACTCTCATACAATTATAAGTTCTCCGTCCCACAAACAGCATACTGCATTCTCAGAAACTGAATTTAGCTTTGGAGTAGATAATGAGAGACCCCTAATTGAAGTTTCCTTCAAAAGGGACAGTTCTGGTAGGGAGCTATAATTTCAGAAAAGCAGCGTTCAGGTGGATATGCACCAAATCAATTATGTGATGCAATACTGAAAATGAAAATTCTGCAGGACTAGTTCTATTATCTTCTTTGATCATTGAATTAGGGAGGACACTTGTCCTAAATTTCCTTATTTTTTTCATTGAATATTGGGAACAATCTTGCACAAGGCTGAATGACTGCAAAACTAATTCAACTTGAGATTAAAACAGTTATTCTTATCTATTTAGGGTTATACAGAGTCCTTCATTGACACTTGTCCTAAATTTCCTTATTTTTCTCATTGAATATTGGGAACAATCTTGCACAAGGCTGAATGACTGCCAAACTGATTCAACTTGAGATTGAAACAGTTATTCTTATCAATTTACGGTTATACAGAGTCCTTCATTTATATCTGCTACAGGTGCATTTGGTTGAAAAATGCCTAATGAATTAACAAATTCTCCTAACCCCATTGCATTTCACATCAAACAAATCAAATATCTGCATAAACAAAATCGAATCAACATATATATTTTTTGTGGATCAATAAACACACAATCACATGAAATCAATTCTTAGAAGCCAAATTGTCTATATAACTTGTAACTTGTAAGGGTATATATAAAGTATAGTATTAAAAAAAAAGAAACCATTTTTTACTTTTCAAATTCTTGACCAGGGAGATAAAGTGGTTGATGCATCACATGATAAGACCACAACACCAAAAGACATGATAAGGCAGGATGACAAAAAGTCACAGGGAACCATGTCATTACTAGGCTTTATAGTCATTCCAAGGGTACATGTCATTACTAGGCCAAGTGCTTAAAGTCAATAGGGTTTACAGTCCCATTTTTTACTGCTGATGGTCTAAACATAAAGCTTGTCAATATTTCATGTCAATGGTTACACATAAATTACAGTAGCTGTAGGCCTACAATGCATGAAGTTAACATGTCATACTACTGAATATGCTTCAGAAGCCTTACGGACATAGCAGTTGTCAAATAGAGATCTAAAACTTTAACCATTCAAGGCAGTTTAATGTACTATTTGCATCACCAAAATATACCAGAAAGAGGACAGTTAATATACCAAACACTGTCTGGATCATCATCTGAATCACACAGCGGAGGTCGCGTTCCTGCCTCACGACTTAAGTAGCAACTGTTGTTCAAGGGCTTCTGCCAAATTGCAATATACCCCTCCTTGACAAGATTCCAACAAACGTGGCTTGTAAGATTAATCATCTCTGAAGATGAAGGAAGACAAACGATCAGTAAACTGAACTTCTTGTTTGATGTGCTGCACATGTTACTCCTATTTAGACCACCAATAAAATGCAATGGAAACACTTCATTTGGGTGCACTGGAAGATTGACCTTCATTAAACAAATTACGAGGCACCCAGATGAACTAACATATTACATGCTTTAGGACCTTTCCCTGCCATTTTATCTAAGTACCATAACCAGTTTGCAAATTTTTTGTTCTCCAAGCTGGGGTAGTTACCAAATTCAGATTCCTTAATTTTTTCTAAGTTATAAACAATTGCAGAAGTCACTCTGTAAGCAATTGGGATTCAACAGGGAGATCAAATGCAAACTAAGGTGCACAATTTTTCATATAAGGGTATAACAGAAAGCTGTGCAAACATTCGAAACTCAAACTAAAAAATGCTTATCGACTCACTAAAGTGAAAATAACTGTTCATCTTATTTTATAAACAAATTCTGCTTAGTCATGCCTTCCCACTGCTCTTCAAGGGCTAATTCATGCTTATAAACAGGCTGTGCTACCCAAGCAAAGTATCCTCCTGCACGTAACATCCTGTTGACCTTGAGCAGCAAAATTCCATCTTTGCCACAATGAAAGAAACAAACAAATGCATGATAAGAATATGTCCCACAAATGAACATCAACAATTTTCCCATATAATATCTACTACTCTTTCCAGATAACAGATGTCCACAATGATAATGATATGCCACATGGAAAATAGTGAGGATAGAGGACATGGAACAACTAGGTTATAAATTATAATGCATAAACAAGAATGATTACACATTGGCCTCATAAACTTGCAGATATGAATCATATGGTAAATAAAAATGCTTAATCGCCTTTTAAACTACTTTATCTCTTATCAATTGGAAGTGTGAATTGAGGAATTAGGCTACAACACAATACATATACACACATACATATACTAAGTGATTGTCGAGGCAAAGCTCTTCACATGTCAAAACAAAACCTGGTGGAACTTTCATTACAGCCAACAACTAACAAATACACGGAATCAGAGTGTCGACAATAAATGAAAAATTGTCATAAACTACATTTCTTAGCATAAAAACCTATTCGATGGTTATAATTTTTTCAACTAAAAGTTTGAAGGTATGGAAATCCCACGGTGATCAATGATCCACTTCAGGAAAGAACTGATGGAACATAGAGAATTGGGATCTCATATCAGACATTCACTTGCCAGTTTGAGACTGACAAAGTCATCAATCTTTATGCAGGTGGTGGCTCCATTATCCATATCAACAATACAAGAAGTTAATGAGAAACATATTTGGCATTAAAATTTTATTTAACCTTTGAGAGAAATTCTGCAAGGAAGCAATAGGAGGTGCAACACTTCCAATATATACTTTAATGCCTAATTAGTTGTTCACTAAATCATTTTCTACCCAACAAAGATAATAAATTAAATTATGAGAGAGAATAGCATACCATCACGAGTCCAATTAATTCTACATCTTGAACAATGTATCAAGTCAAAAGCTTGATAGGGTTTAAGATCTGTTCGGATTATAAAACTACATCATTGTTGTTCCAAGGATACACAGTCACATAGAGATATAGAGGAACCATTTCAACCCAGTCATTAGAGGAACCGACTGGAATGAGAGAGTCGAAAGAAGACAAAAGAAGCGTACCGTCTCGCCGCCGAACTAGTCTCGCCGCTGACTGAAACCCTTCCCCTTCAACCCGGAGTAGGTGGAGTTGTGTAGTGGAGTAGGTGAAGTGGAGTAGTTTTAACAGCCCCCCTCAAACTCAAGGAGGATAGGTACGAACCAACTTGAGTTTGGAGAGAGTAACAAAACAGGAAAGTAAACTGATAAATAAAATAAAATAGAATAGGAGACACTGTATGGTCGTGTCAGACCGTTGTTGAAGATAATGTCTGGACAGTTGACGAGGTCACACTGGACCATTGTAGAAGCTAACCGGAATCAATGTCGGGACAGTTTATGGGGTCCTGCCGGACCGTTGTAAAAGCTAACCGGAATCAATGTCGGGACAGTTTATGGGGTCATGCCGGACCGTTGGAAAAGCTAACCGGAATCAATGTCGGAACAGTTTATGGGGTCATGCCGGATCGTTGTAAAATACACTGTATGATGGTGTATATAGGCTGCCCAAATATATACACATGGATATATATATCGAGCCCTCAAAAGTCGCGCCCACTTCATCAAAAGACGTGCCCGACAGAAAGCATCGAGCCATCAAAAGGGGCGCCGGACACGCGGCGATGCACGTGACCGACAGAGTGTCGTGTCATCCTCTTCGGCATTGGCTATATAAACCAAAGCGAAGCCTGAGGCTTGGAAGCAGAACAAACCAGTTGAAACCTCTTCGTTCTCTGAGAGCTTTTCTCTAAGAGTTGCAAACCCTGAAACACTCTGTAACCAACCTTTTCTGACAGTACCAGTCGAAAATCCAGTCGGAAATCGCTGCTTCTCTGAAACACTCAGCAACCCAAAACATGGCCTCTTCTTCCCGTAGTCTGCTCACGCTCTTTCCAGACCTCAACGAGTCCACAAGAGAGATAACCGGTGCGGTTGCCCTTGAACCTCAACCAAGCGCCTCTGGTTTTGCTCCGTTGAACTTTCCGATGCGGTCAGTGGAGCAAAGAATGGCAGTGCAATCGGATGTTGAGGCTAATCAGTATACATTGAAGTCATGTGTGGAGACCATGACTGCGGTCACAAACTTGTCGCACCGGCTTCAGAGTAGGACAAATGAGGTGCAGCAGTTAAACGCCCAACTGGCTCTGCTCCAGCGGCATGTATAAGGATGCGCAGCAGAGATTATAGTGCGCTAAAAGTCGGACAAGGAGCTGAAGCGGAAGGCCACGGTGATGTTTCGATTTGGAGGTCCGCCATATGCTGTAGTGGAGGAGCAAAGGGGAGGTGAACGTGCTCAGCGGCGTGGGAAACACGGAGGCAGCACCGTCAAGGGCCGCCTGGACAGAGGCAAGAAGAAGAGACCGGCTGGCAAGAGTAAGAGAAGAAAAATCACGCTCTGTGGATGTGGTTGTTTGTTTGTTTTTTTTTTTTGTGTTTTTTGTTTTTTTTTGTTGGTTGTAAATTGTGGACCGGGTTGATCCCGCATGAAATAATGACAAGTTTGGTGGGAATGAAAACGCGAGTTGGTTGTGAATGGATTTTTTTTTTTTGGAAAAAAAAAGAATAAGATAATGAAAAAGGGGTTGAGGCGCACCAAACTGAGGTGTCATAATATCGAAATATTGATGGAAAAAGAAAGATAGAAAAAATAAAATAAAATAAAATGAAGTGTGGGAAAGGAATGGTGAGTGGGGTGCAAAGGTGAAGGAAAGGGTTGGAAAGTTGACAAAGTAGTGGATGTCCTTGAGTAGAGAGAGAGAAAAAGGGACCAGAGAGAGAGGGAGTGGGTTGATTAAAAAAAGGATTGTGGGTTTGAAAGTGGAAATACGAGATGAATCTGTTTTTTTTTTTTTTTTTTTTTTAATGGGTGGTGGTAAGAGCTTAGTCCATTTTCATTGGAACACGATGAGGGAGACAGGGAGCGAGAGCCGAGAAGGAGCCTGATTTCAACTTAAAGAGCAGCCCCCTGTTTTGGTTGTTCTTCTCTTTCAACTAAAGAGAGAGCCCATCCGAGCCCGAGAGAGCACAGGCCGCCGTTGCATGCTTCCTCTGTCATTTTCCGTTCCAACACCAGCGGCGAGTAGGGATTGGCCTGGGCACCAGATCGGCAATTGTAGTAGGAGGCGCCACGTTTGGAGCAGGGTACAGTGTTCCTCTAAAGCGCACCATAGTTGATGTAGCGTGTTGAGGCTAGGATGCGCCTGCTGACCTCAGAATCGAGCCCGAACTCCTCGTCGTCGGCGAGGCACTCGGCGATGGTCCCCCTGCATCCGGATCTAGTGGTGGGTAGAACCCCCCACCCGACCACCAACTGGTGCTCGTGATCCACACTCGCAACAACGCCGTATGATGAGAAGAAGATCAAAGTGGTGATGAAGCATAGTGTCAAGATCTTGGAAGAGGTAGCCATTGTTGTCGTTGAAGCTTTTTTTGTTGCTTTGGTAACCCTTTGCTATGTGTTGTGCTGTGCTATGAGAGAGAGGTTGGTTCAGTCATTCTGAGAGCAAGCTCGAGTGGGTGTTGCTGGGTTGCCTCCGAGAGAGAGAGGATTTGGGCAATGATGGGAAGGTATGTGTAGAAAATAAGCGGAATAGATTGAGGTCCGGCGGACGGCTAAGGTGAGGTTGCCGCCCGCCGGTGAAGCGAAAAATGCTAGGTTCTAAACCTGCTCTGATACCATGTAAAATTTAATGTATAAAGAGAAATAGAGAATTGCATAGATATTGATTGTATTATTGATTGATATTATGTACATGGTTGGTCTCCTTTATATAGGAGATTTGGGTGGAGAGTAGGTGTAGTGGAGTAGGTGGAGTATGTGGAGTTGTGTAGTGGAGTAGGTGAAGTGGAGTAGGAGTAGGTGGAGTTGTGTAGTGGAGTCTAGGTTCTAAACCTGCTCTGATACCATGTAAAATTTAATGTATAAAGAGAAATAGAGAATTGTATAGATATTGATTGTATTATTGATTGATATTATGTACATGGTTGGTCTCCTTTATATAGGAGATGTGGGTGGAGAGTAGGTGTAGTGGAGTAGGTGGAGTATGTGGAGTTGTGTAGTGGAGTAGGTGGAGTTGTGGAGTAGGAGTAGGTGAAGTTGTGTAGTGGAGTAGGTGAAGTGGAGTAGTTTTAACAACCTGAAAGGAAATGAAAAAAAATGGGGGGAAAAGGCAGAGGGAAAAAAAAAGGGGAAATTAAGGCCTTGTTTGGTTTGTGTTTCCCAAAAATTTTTAGAAAAAATTCTCTACAAATAAGTTTTCAAAAGTAATCAAACCAAACAAATTTTCTCAAAAAAATTTCTCAAAACTTGTTTGGTTTACAATTTTTCCAAACAAATCTCTCTCTCATACACATCAAATCAATCACTTTTTCCAAAACTCTCTCTCAAAATAATTTTTCAAAACATCTTTTGAAAAAAACCAAACCAAACAATTTTTCGTACTTTTTATCTCTAAAACTTATCTCCCAAACTCAAACCAAACATACCCTAAGTTTGGGCGGGCGGAAAAAGAGAAGGGGGAAATAGTTTTATTTTTACTTTAATTAATTTTTTTTATTTGATAGAAGTAGGGATAATATTTTAATGAAAAATATTTTTCGTTAAAATAAAGTTAATTTTTTATGGTCGATGAAAAATATTTATTGTGACCCTTTTTTTTTTGTTACTAAAAATCAAGAGCTAATTTTTTGTGGTAGAGGAGAGGGAGCGGCAGTAGTGGTGAAGCTGGTGGATAAGAGGTGAGGTGGTGGTGGTGGTGATGGCGAAGGAGATTAGTGGTGATGTTGTGGTCATGATTGAGGAGATAAAGTAGCGGTGGTGAAGGAAAGGTAATAGTAGTAGTAGTAGTAGTAGTAGTAGTGGTGGTAGCAGTGGTGGTAGTGGAGTGGTAGCGATGGTGGTAGTAATGGTAGTCGTAGAGATGGAGTGGCAACAGTGGTAATAATGGTGGTAGTGAAATGACATTTGCAGTAGTGGTGAAGGTGGTAGAGGAGATGGGTGGTGAGAGAGAGATGAGTGAGAGACAGATAGAGAAGAGAGATAGAGAGACAGAGTGATGAACGAGAGAGAGAGAGAGACACAAAATGGTCGCTAAAAGTGCATTTTCTTGTAGTGGAGAGCTCGATAAATAGAGAAGAGTAGAGAGAAAGAATGAGCAAGATGAACATAATGGGGGAGAGAGACAGACAGACACAGAGAGAGAAAGAAAGAGAGATGAGTGATGAGTGAGAGACAGACAGACAGACACAGAGAGAGAAAGAGACCAAAATAAATAAATAAACAAAATCCAGGTTCGATTCTGAATATTTTGGCCACCAAGTCTAGTAGAGTTGACTGTGTGTGTAACACAATATAGCAATATATTCCACGATTGAATCAACAACATGAAAAATATAAGCCATCTTTTTCAAGAAGTCCAAACAAATATTAGAACCCAGAAATTGCAGTTTACAAGAATTGCCACTGTGAAGAACAAAAAATAATATGGTGGTCATGGAGGGGAACACATGGGAAAAGGGAAAAAAAAATAGCAAATACGTATCACTGTTGGCTAGCAAGGGTAAAGTATCAAAACTTAACTATTGGTTCCATCCATTTTCTCCAAAACTTAACCCTTCTTTCCATCCATTTTCTAAAGAGAGGGTGTGCACACCAGCAGATAGATAATAGTAAAATAGTAGTTCATAGTTCACATCTTCCTTGCACCATAGAAAGCGTGCATAAGCCCAGTCCCCAGCAGTTTTAAAAAACACATGCACACTCAAAAAAAAAAAGAAGAAGAAGATAATAAGAGTTATCTGGGCAACAGCATGAAATGTGATGCAGCTGTCAAGCCCACTTTATGTAACTCATCAACACTGCCCAAACAAAGGATTGTACCAATGACCATCAAATCAATGTTTTTCCAGCAACAAAAGACCTCATTTCTAGCTTTGCAATGTGTAGACGTCCCCGAACGCCCCGGGAGAGGAACGAGCTCCCCCGTTCCATTCGATATTGGGCTCACTACAGCTCAGGACTCTCAAATTGTCACGGTTCTTAATCTGAACCAGAGAATCATAATTATCACTAACTTGGCCTGCAATGGATGGTTCTGAAGGTTTCTTTCGGGGATGGGGGAATTTTGGGACTTGAAGTTCTAGATACCTGGTTTTCAAGAATTGGGGAATTGAGTTCAACAAGCTCAGTGAGATTTCTTTCTTTTCGTTTTTTTTTTCCCTCAAGATTCTCTACCAATGAAATATCTAAATTTCGAATTTATTAATGTTCTTCTCGTTTCCTACACTTTCTCAGTAACCAAACAAGCATATTAGAAAACAATGACATAGTCACACTGTAAAGTTAGTTTCTTTTTTGTTCCTGCATTTTTCCAGCAACCAAACAAAGCATTTAATAGACCACACTCAGAGAGAGAGAGAGAGAGAGTTTACTGGGCCTTTGGCAATAGATTCGTCAAACATCCACCGTTGTTCCAAGGGCACAATGGCTTGGTCTTGGCAATGAATCTGAAATGTCTGATTAGTACTAATGATGAGGGATGTAGGTCGAATGGATGGCTTGGATGATGCTGCGACTGGGAACCCAAGAAATCCACCGTTGCACATTGTTCGCCGCCGTCGCAGGCTGCTCGCTGCCGTCGCTCGACACCGTCGATTCGATGCTCGCCGTCATTTGCTGCTACTCACAGTCGAGAGAGAGAGAGAGAGAGAGAGAGAGAGTCGTGAGAAGAGAGAGACTGGGAGAGAGAGAGATACAGTTTTTGGTTAAAAAGGTTAGGGATTTTTGAGACTGGGGATTTTTGGTTGAAGGGTAGAAAAACAAGCGCGAAGGGCAAAAAAAGCTGAGTTCAGATATATATATATTTTTTTTTTGCGACGTCAAATTTCACCGTCACAAATTAAAATTTAAAGAATAAAACGACGTCATTTAACTAATTTTGTATTTGCGACAGGGGGGATTGTGGTCACAAACAATGGCTTTATTTGTGACAGTAGGGGTTGTCGTCGCCAAAAACGTGCATTATTTCCGATTGTTGTTGTTGTTGTCACAAAAACTTGCTTTTTTGTAACAGGGAGTGGTACCATCGTTGAAACTTGATTTATTGGAGATGGCAAGTGGTGCGGTTGCAAAAACTCACTTTTTGCGACTGTAAGTTGTGCCGTCACAAATACTTTCGTGTTATATGCCCCCGTTTCTTGTAGTGATATATCCTTCAAAAAAACAAGTAACTTGTCTAGTTTGGTCAGATTATATGCAATAAATTCCTTGTATCCGAACTAGAATTTTTCAAAACACACACACACACACACACACACACACACACACACAAAAATTAAATGCAATTTTAGTTTAAAAGCTAAACAATATTTCCTTCGAAATCAGGTTTGGTCCAATGATATGTATCTCATTGGTAAATTGGTGTGTATCCGAACTGCAAGCATTCCAAACTATGTATCCGAACCAGATTTTTCCAAATCCGACATTGAAAGGTATGTTGTATCAACTAATCTGCGGAGAAGTTTTTCCTCTACACAAGGGTACAACAATTTCTTTACTGCAAATGTTGGTAAGGAAAAAGGAAAAATGAAGGGAAGGAAATATCGTGAAAAGATAACTAATTTTCATATTATAATTGTCCATACAAAGAAATTTCAAATTGGCCTAATTAAAACATAACAACTAAGCATTATGTTTGTTGTCGTTGGCCAAGGTTTGTCCTTGTCATATGCATCCTTCCTCACCCATCCATTAAACTCTGCATGGGAACATGAAAAATCTTTAACACAAAACAAAATCTAGAGATTTTTCTACAATAAGTAATATCAGAAAAAGGAACAAAGTAGAAAAGGACTAATATCGTGTAAATCTTTCAACACATCTTTCACAACTCAGGTTAATTTGTTGAAATCACGATAGTCTAGTGACATAGATAAACAAATAGTTAACATAGAGTGAGTAACAATCCTCCTGCTGATGGTTTAGCAGGAGGATTGTTATGCATTTGGGATTCAGATATTTTCCAGATGTCAGATTGTTGCAGTAATAGAAGGTTTATCATTATCTCAGGTACCTCTTTCAAGTCCTTTGAATGTACCTTGTTGAATATTTATGCACCTAACGAATTGGGTGCAAGGGGAGAATTATGGGAGAGATAGGTAAATTTGAAAGAGAAGATCCCTAAGCCTTGGTGCCTAGCTAGGGATTTTAATGAGATTAGAAGTATGAGTGAAAGAAAGGGGTGCACTAGAAGAGATAGGGGTATGCAAGAGTTGAATGAGTTCATAGACAAATGTGAGGCATCTGATCTACCTCTATTGGGCAGAAAGTTTGCATGGTGCAATCAAGAGATGGGGAAACGTGGAGTAGAATAGATAGGGTCTTAGTTGATCCAAAATGGTTTGAGATGTTTAATTTGAAACTGTGGGGGTTACCTAGAGTGATCTCAGATCATTGCCCTTTATTATTAATGGAGGATGAGAGGGACTGGGGCCCTAGACCATTTCGGGTGCTAAATGCATGGTTTTTACATAGAGACTTTCAAGCTTTTGTGGAAAGTAGGTGGAAAGAGGCTAATGTAGTGGGTTGGGCTGGGTATGTATTGCTAAATAAGTTAAAGACTCTGAAATTATGACTAAAAAAATGGAATGTGGAGATATTTGGGAATGTGACTAACAAATTGAAGACTGCAGAGTCAGATTTGCATAATTTTGATCTCTTGGCTGAGACTAGAGACCTTACTGACTCAGAAAAAGCAACAAGGAGAGAAGTTCGAGAAAAGGTGTGAAGATTGACTAGAATGGTGGAATGGATGTGGCTTCAAAAATCAAGACTTAATTGGACAATGAAAGGTGATAGAAATACAAGACTTTTTCATGTAATGACAAAATGTAGGCAAGTAAGAAATGAGATTAGCTCTATTACAGTGAGGGAGGTGGTGATTGAAGATCCTAGTCATGTGAAGGCTAAGGTACTTGAGCATGTGAATTATGTAGTTTATATTATTCATTAAGGATAGTTTAGTACTTTAGATTATTAGGGATTATTAGGGTTTCGTTTTCATTCTATTGCTTATATATTTTGTAATTCTTTTGATTAATCAATATACACAAGTTTTGTCATCTGTTATCATGGTATGAGAGCAAGGTTACAAACAGTAGCATACCTCGCAGGTCATCATCGACCATCGCAGCTCTGTCTCTCATCGCACATCGCAGCTCTCTCTCCTTCAATCGCAAGGCCATCGCAGCTCTGTCTCTCTCTTCGCAAGGTCATCGAAGCAGCTCTTCTCGCAGCTCTGCCTCTCTCTTCGCAAGGTCATCATCGAAACAGCTCGTCTCACTTGCTGGTTTTGGTTCTGGTTCATTCGGAGACCTAGGTTGGGTATCTCGCTGATCTTCTCTCTATTTTGACCTAGCTCTCGTAAACGGTGAACCTCCATCACTGCTCTCTGGTTTATAGGTTGCCGTGGTTATGAGAAGAGTGCATTGCTACTCTTGACAGGTCATTCATCTCTCTCTCTCTCTCTCTTCTCTGCTGCCTTTCACTCTGTTTTGAATGCACTGTAGTTTGGGTATACAATATGGCTGATGATAAATTGCAAGCTATTACTACTAAATTAGATGGTACCAATTATTCTTATTGGTCTCATGTGATGAAAAATTTTATAATGGGTAAAGGTATGTGGAATTATGTTATTGGTATGACTATTAGACCTGTGGAATCTCAAGAAACTGAGGCCGATGTTGCTAAATGGGATAAGGAAAATGCACAAATTCTTACTTGGTTTCATAATTCAGTTCAAACTACCATTGGTATGAATTTTTCCAAGTATTCTACTTCTAAACAAGTTTGGGACTATTTGAAGACTATGTACCTTGAGTCTAACTTTGCAAAGCAGTATGAACTTGAGATGTCTATTCGCAGTGCTAGTCAGAAAGATAAGTCCATTCAGGAGTTCTACAATGAGATGACTACTTATTGGGATCAGCTTGCTTTGATGGAACCGTCCGATTTGCAGTTACTTGACAGTTATATCAAGTATCGGGAGAAACAACATCTTGTTCAATTTCTCATGGCCCTTCGTGATCAATTTGAGCCACTTCGGGGAGCTATTCTTCATCGGTCTCCCTTGCCTTCTGTGGATGGTGCTGTCCGTGAGCTTATTGCGGAAGAAACTCGATTTAAGGTGGCTCATGGTACTCCTGCTTCCCAGTCAGTTTTTGCCACTCCTCCGCTTTTGCCCACCCCATCTTCTCATTTATTTCAAGTTACTGGTAAGCCCAAGCCTCGAGTTTCCATGGATGAGTGCAGCTTCTGTCATCAGAAAGGCCATTGGAAACATGCATGCCCTAAACTTTTGCAGCCCAAGGGTCGTTCATCTGGTTCACCATTCACTAAGCCGACATTTTCAGGATCTCGCTCATCTGCCGCCTTTTCTGCACCAGTTTCTGAGAATGATCCATCTTCCAATATGCAGTCTATGTTTGAGCAGTTCAAGTCTTTCATGGTGGCCAATCCAAATCTTTCGTCCCAAGCCTCCGCTATGACTACCACTCAATTCGGTTTGTCTGGTTCATCCTCTTCAGGTAATATCCATACTTCGTGGATCTTTGATTCTGGTTGTTCACATCATATGACCCCTGTTGCATCTCTCCTCAATAATTGTGTCTCTCCTTCTTCTTCTATCACTATTGCTACTGCTAATGGTTCTTCTATGCCTGTACACTCTGTTGGTTCTATTTCTTGTTCCCATTTGTCTCTCTCCTGTATTTTATGTGCCTAACCTCTCCCTCAGTCTTATTTCTATTAGTCAATTATCTGATTCCGATTTTGATGTTGTTTTCTCTTCCTCTCATTGTGTTGTACAGGACCGGGTATCCAAGAGGCAGATTGGGATCGGGCGTAGAGTTGGAGAACTATATATCTTGGACAGCTTACATGTTCCTCTAGAAGTGTCTTCTACTGCATTGTCTTCTTTTGTTTAAACAATAAGTCATCTTTGTTTTCATTTGGAATTATTTTAAAATAAACTTTTGAATATTCAATTTGTAATATTTTGGGAAACATTTACAACATCAACTGAACATTGGTCGTAACGTACTCATCCGCAGATCAATCGTAACAAATTTGTAAATCCCACGCACGCCCACTTAACCCCATATGTATGGAAGATTAATTGTTATTTACATTTTTTCTGAAATCACTCCTTATAAATTTGCAAATCTCACGGACAACCAGTTAACCCAATAGTATTGGAAGACTAGTGTATGAAAATATTATTGGAATGAAAATGTATATGGGGCCTTTTATGGAATGTCATTAAGAATTTAAGGTCATAATTTCCTGGCCCATGGTGTTTGGGGGGTGACTTTAATGAGATTAGGAGTTTAGGGGAAAGGAAACGTTGTATAAGAAGGGATAGAGGCATGTTAGAGTTTAACAACTTTATTGAAGAATTAGAACTGTTTGACGTGCCAATGCATGGATGACAATTTACTTGGAGTAATTCAGAAGATGGGGGCAGGTGGAGTCGGATTGACAGAGTATTGCTGTTCTCTGAATGGGTAGAACGGGCGCGCTCCAAGCTTAGTTCTCGTTGTGTCCTATGTGTCTTTTTAGGGTATGGCATTAATCAGAAAGGTTATCGGTGCTATGATCCTGCCACCAAAAAGCTATATGTGTCTAGGCATGTCACTTTTTTAGAAAAACTACCCTACTATACTATACCTTCCACCCCTGTTCCTATTACTAAGGATGAATTGGTTCATGTTGACCCATTTCCTCCTAATGTTTCTCCTGATGAGTTTGTTTCTGACCTTGAGGTCTCTACTTTGCCTCTTACTAGCACTTCTAATACCTCTCCAGCTACCTCATCTCCAGCTCCCGCTTCTCCTGCTCCTCTTATTGTTTATCAACGCCGCAAAGCACTTCCGAGCTCACCTGTCTCTAGCTCTACTGTCCCTCCAGTTGTTTCTTTGGATCCTGCTCCTTCTGCACATCGCTTCCCAAAGCGAAATCGTCATCCTCCGAACTGGTATGGTTTTGGTAATACACGTTTTTCCCTTTCCTATCAGTCTTTTCTTTCTTGTCTTCATACATATTTTGAGCCCAGGTCTTACAAGGAAGCTTGCCATGATCCCAATTGGATTGCTTCCATGAATGATGAGTTAACTGCTTTGGCTAACACTCAGACTTGGGATTTGGTTCCATTACCTGCTGACAAGAATGTTATAGGCTGTAAATGGGTCTATAAGGTCAAAACCCTTTCTGATGGGTCTTTAGAACGGTACAAAGCTCGTCTAGTTGCCCAAGGCTTTTCTCAGGAGTATGGAATTGATTACGATGAGACTTTTGCCCCCGTTGCCAAGATGACTACTGTTCGTACTCTTATCTCTGTTGCTGCTACCCATCATTGGCTCCTGTTTCAACTAGATGTCAAAAATGCTTTTCTGAATGGGCATCTTGTTGAAGAAGTGTATATGCGCCCTCCACCGGGTCTCTCTCACCCTCCTGGTGTTGTTTGTCGTCTTCGCCGTGCTCTATATGGTCTCAAGCAGTCTCCTCGTGCTTGGTATGAGCGATTTCACTTTGTTGCCCTTCAGCTTGGTTTTCGCCCTAGTCATCATGATTGCGCTCTCTTTGCTCGACGCACTTCTGTTGGGCTTGTTCTCCTTCTCTTATATGTGGATGATATGATCATCACTGGCTCTGATTATATTACTATTGAGGAGGTTAAGCATCAGTTGTTTCAAGAGTTCGAGATGAAGGATTTGGGGTTTCTTCGGTATTTTCTTGGTATTGAGGTTGCTACTTCTCCTACTGGTTATCTTCTCTCTAAGACTAAATATGCCCGTGATATTCTTTCTCGTGCCAATCTCACTGATGAGAAAATTGTTGACACTCCTCTTGAGTTGCATGCTAAGTTTTTTGCTTCTGATGGCATTCCTCTTAAGGATCCCACTTTGTATCGCGAGTTGGTTGGGTGCCTTGTTTATCTCACCGTTACTCGTCCGGATATCTCCTATGTTGTGCACATTCTCAGTCTGTTGGTTTCTGCTCCTCGTTCCACACACTGGGCTGCCTTACTTCGTACTTTGCACTACCTTCGTGGTACTTTGTTGCAATGTTTGCTGTTATCTGCCTCTTCAGACTTGACTCTCCATGCCTATGCTGACGCTGATTGGGCAGGTGACATCTCTGATCGCAAATCCACTTCTGGTCTTTGTGTTTTCCTTGGCGATTCCCTCATATCCTGGAAGAGTAAGAAACAATCTATTGTTGCTCGTTTCACCGCTGAGGCTGAGTATCGTGCCATGGCTTATGCTACTTCCGAGATCGTTTGGCTTCGCTGGCTTCTTTCTGATATGGGTGTCTCTCTTTCTGATCCGACTCAGTTGTATTGTGATAATCAGAGTGCTGTCCAGATTGCCCATAATTCAGTCTTTCATGAGCGGACAAAGCATGTTGAAATAGATTGTCACTTTGTCAGACAACATCTTTAGGCTGGCACTATTACTCTCCCTTTTGTTCCCTCATCTCTTCAGTTGGCCGATTTTTTTACGAAGACTCATACTGTTGCTCATTTTCGTTTTCTTCTTGGCAAACTTTCGATGCTTTCTACGCTCACATCCTCAGTTTGAGGGGGGGTGTGAATTATGTAGTTTATATTATTCATTAAGGATAGTTTAGTACTTTAGATTATTAGGGATTATTAGGGTTTCGTTTTCATTCTATTGGTTATATATTTTGTAATTCTTTTGATTAATCAATATACACAAGTTTTGTCATCTGTTATCAGAGCATTTTACAAACCAGTATTCAGAACATCGGGCATCAAGACCTCAATTACGAGGGTCTTTCAAATCGGTGGAAGGAACCGTGGAGTATGTTTTTCTAGAAAAAGAGTTCACAGAAGTTGAAATAAGAGCAATAGTAAAGAAATGTGATGGAAATAAAGCACCTGGGCCAGATGGCTTCAATATGTTTTGCTTTCAAAGTTCTGGAAAATTATGAAGAAGGAGGTGATAAACTTTAAATGAATTTCATAAGAATGGGAAATTGGTAAAAGGGATCAATAGCTCCTTCATAACTCTTATACCTAAGAAGGACAACCCAATAGAGCTATCTGATTATAGGCCTATAAGTTTGGCGGGATCAATTTATAAGATCATAGCCAAATTATTGGCAAATAAATTGAAAGCAGTATTGCCCCACATAATCAGTGAAACTCAGTCAGCATTTATGAGTGGAAGGAGCATACTAGATGGTGTATTAATTGCTAATGAGGTTGTTGATGGGTGGAAGTTAACTAAGAAGAAAGGGGTGGTTTTAAAACTAGATTTTGAAAAGGCTTTTGATTCCATTAACTGGGGCAACTTATTCTCTATGTTATCAAAGTTTGGGTTTGGTTCTAAATGGACCAGCTAGATTAAAGAGTGTGTTTCAACTGCAAGGATATCAATGCTTGTCAATGGATCACCAACTGAAGAATTCAGTCAAGTAAAGTGTGTATGGTTGATTACTTGTATTGTAACCTATTTCTTCCACAATTGCCGTGGTTGTCTTTTTTCTTTGCTGTTTGTTATTTGTTATTTGTAAGGTGTGTTTTGGAATTTGCCCAAGTTAAGGAGTTTTTTTTTTTTTTTTGATCAGCAAAGAAAGAGGAACTTTATTGATGAATTAGAAGACAATTACATCAATAAAAGAAAAGAGAAGGATGGGTGCAAATAGCATCATAGTGAACCAAAACCAATCCTAATTAGGTTGGCACCGATAAGACCGCCCAATCATATGTTAGCACACCATCAAGAGTTGGTGAGTAACCAACCATAAACACCAAAGCCAACCTCACCCAAGCAGAAGATAACCAAAACTAACAAACTAACAAACATATAAAAAGACAAGACAAACAATAAAGAAAAACAGCTGCAGCAGGCCAGAGCAAAACAAATAGACAATCCATAGCAGCAGAACAACCAACATCAGCAGGTAGATCACAATCCAACAGACCAACAGCAATGCAACCAGCAACCATCATCAACAGGCCACACAACACCATAGATCAGAGCTGCACTCATATGAGCTAAAAAAAGAGAGGAAGATTTGGGTGGATTGGTTTGTTTATGAAGTGACTGATCTGTTTGTTTTTGCTAATCTGTTCTGCTACTATGCCAGCCAGCTTCATGAAATCTGTTCTGTGGCTTTGCTGAATAGCCTAGCTTAATGACTGTTGGTCTCCATAGGGAGTGGTGTTATGGTTTATGTTAGGACCGGGATGCTGTTTGTCGTTGATTATGATATTCAATGATCTTGTTTGTTTGGTTTGTCGTCTGTTGCTCCTTCATGTTGTTTACTCACTATATGGGAACTTGGAGTTTGTGGCTGTAGATGATTTGGTGGCATCCAGGTCCAACCTAGTTGGGATCTGAATGTTTTACTATGATGGCTTTTTTTGGCACCCTTCCTCCTTATTGAATATATGTTTTCATACTCAGTATATTTTTCATCAATAAAGCTTCTTCTTTTTCGCTGATCAAAAAAAAAAAAAACTGTACAGAATTGTGCTGCACATTCATAGTAAAGCCCAATGGTTATTCC